TTACATGTGTACAACCTTCAGGAGTCCCAGGGGTGGAAGGAACTCAGGTTGTCAGACTTTACCCACTAAACAAGCTTGCTGCCCCAGGTTTGTTTGTTTTTCTAATACTATTGTAACACCTATAACTGACATAAGATAGCCAACATTAATAGTAAAGTGGCTTATGTCTACATCTTGTACTACATGAAAGCAAGAGCAGAAAGGTGGGCCCCAAAGGACTAGAAAGGCAACTTGATATGCCATGTTTTGTTGATTCCTGTGTGAGGCCTGGTCCTTTCTGAACAGAAACAGAGGAGGAGTGGATTGAGGGAGGCAAACAGGAGGGTGGGGAAACTGCAATAAGAATGTAAAGTAAATAAATAAGATCTTTAGAATGAATAGAGCCGGGTGTTGGTGGTACACACCTTTATTCCCAGCACTCAGGAGGCAGAGGCAGGTGGATCTCTGTGAGTTCGAGGCCAGCCTGGTCTACAGAGCGAGTGCCAGGATAGGCTCCAAAGCTACACAGAGAAACCCTGTCTCGAAAAACCAACAAAACAAAAACAAAAAATAAAAAAGAATAGAAAGACAGGGGAGAGCAAACAAAAATACCAATAATTACTAAATATCACTTCTTTTTTTTGGGGGGGGGACTTTTATTTATTTATTTATTTATTTTGGTTTTTGGAGACAGGGTTTCTCTGTGTAGCTTTGGAGCCTATCCTGGCACTCGCTCTGTAGACCAGGCTGGCCTCGAACTCACAGAGATCCACCTGCCTCTGCCTCCCGAGTGCTGGGATTAAAGGTGTGCACCACCAATGCCCAGCCTAAATATTACTTCTTGATTACAGTCCATCTATCACCAGTAAAACAAAATCACATTATCAAGCACCCCTGAGAACATTCGAAACACACAAAGCATAAGTAAGTTTACAATGCAAGCTTATTGGGTCATGAAGACATGAGAATGGGAAAAATTTTAAAGACATTTTTATTTTATGTGTGTTTTGCCAGGCATGCATGCAGTGCCCTCAGAGGCCAGAAGAGGGCATCAGATTCCCCTGAAGGTTGCAAACTGCTATGTGAGCTCTGAGACTGAACCAGGGTCCTCTTCGAGGGCAAGAGGGGCTCTTAAATGCTGAGCTGTCTCTCCAGTACTGAAAGATGGAAACTGTGAAAACAAATTCCTCACCTCCAAACTGATCTTGGCTTATAAGACAAACATTTTTCAGAAGGGAAAGGAAAAATCCTAGCTGTGGCCTAAACAGAATTTGTCCTCCAACTCAAAATGATCTATTCATCTTTTCCCAACTCCCCCAGTCTAACTTTCTCAGGAAGAAGCATTTACTCCCAACAGTACGATTTCTCAGACTTGCAAACTCCCCTGTGAGTCTTCTTGCTTACTAGGTATGCAGTGTAGCTACTGTAAGTAGAGAGAGAAGGTGGCTTGCTAAAGCTGCTAACCTCATGTAAGAAGATTACAAGGCTAAATAAAGTCATTTTTCTAAGAAACAATCACCTTTTCAGATGGTTACTTACATGTCCATTGGCAACATCTAATAAGTCCTTAACCCTGCAGCCTCTCGTGGTTCCCATCTCATTGCAGATGGCATCTTCTACAATTAGGTAGTTAGCTTTATAAGATGTCAGTATTTTATAAATGTCCTCAGCAGATCGCTTTGAATAGATCTGGTAAATCTGAAAGGAAATAATTAAGACAAAATTTAAAAGACACTGAAAGCACCTGCTAATTAAAATTACACAGCTTTAATACAATACACTTCACAGGGATGGAGAGATGACTCAGCAGTTAAGGTTATGACTGTTCTTGGAGCCGAGTTCCATAAAACATAAAATATTTAATTAAAACTCTGATAAATCTCCATTCATTCCCCTGACAGCGTTATAGAAAGAACCTCTCAAGAAGCGTAGTAATACTCTTCACAAAACACAGAATTTAACCCTGGATTTTCTCTTGGTTAAATTAACAATACAACTTTTTTTTTCTTTTTATGTTTTTCAGTTTTGAGATGGTCCTGCTATGTAGCTCTGGCCAGTCTGAAACTCACTACGGAGTACAGGCTGGTATCAAACTCACAATGGCCCTCCTGTTTCAACCTCCCAACAACTTTTTAAAAACTAATCTGAATTACATCTTCTAAAATTGTATTTTCCTAGCTATCAGGAAACACTCATCAGCACAGAACAAGATAAAATTATAGGGTTACTTTAAAATTCCCAAATGTAGGACCTGAAATGACTTACGTTTTCATTTCTCCTAAGAAGGTCATCATCACTATAAAGTGGCAGGCTCGTCACCATCCACCCAGTACACAGCTTAATCACACCCATTAACTGTGGACTTCCTGCAAACACAGCTGCAACTGGGGCTTGCCTCCTGTAAAGAACCAAAAGATCATATGATAAAAGAGCAAATACGCTAGTAAGATCACTGCTTTATGCCAACTCTCAAATACCAGCTAGTTGAAATATATGGCACTTAGATTTCAAAGTCAGTGCAGTTCATTTCACTCACGTATTCATTAAAAAGCAGGCTAGACTGAACATCTACTATATGCTAGCAGCTGTTTTAAGTACCAAAGATGCAGAAAAAGTGGAGATAAGAAACAAGAATATGGCTGGGCGTTGGAGGTGCACGCCTTTATTCCCAGCACTAGGAGGCAAGAGGCAGGCAGATCTCTGTGAGTTCGAGGCCAATCTGGTCTCCAGAGCGAGTGCCAGGATAGCTCCAAAACTACACAGAGAAGCCCTGTCTCGAAAAACCAAAAAAAAAAAAAAAAAAAAAAAAAAAAAAAAAAAAAAAAAAAAAAGAATATGGGCTGGAGAGATGGCTCAGCTGCTAAAGGCTAGGCTCACAACCAAAAATATGCTCCACCAGAGAGGGTGGCTAGTGCTCACATGATCTGCAAACACTTACCCAGGCAACTCAAATCCTTCCACATTCATTCACCCTTCTGCTCCTCTGTCTCCTGACAGCAGTGTAGACCTCTCCACATTAAGTCCACTACAGTCTCATATCCACTCAGAGGGTGGGAAACAACAACCAAGTGCCTTCCATCCTCCTCATTTTCACAGTGCTAGGAGGAAACTTCAAAGAGTACTCTATCAGACTGGAGAAAGGGCCCGACAGGTAAAGATGCTTGCTGCCAAACCTGATGGCATGAGCTTGATGCCAGGACGATATAGTGGAAATAACTTACTCATGCAAATTGTTCTCTGACTTTTACACACACACCAGGTGCACACATGCTGTGGTAGTTTGAATGTAATTGGCCCACATAAGCTCAAAGGAGTGGCACCATTAAGAGGTGTGGCTTTGTTGGAGGAAGTGTGTTACTGTGGGGATGGGCTTTGAGGTCGCATAAATGCTTAAGACACGGCCCAGTGAGACAGACCACTTCCTGTTGCCTTCTGATCAAGATGCAGCCAGCACCATGTCTGCCTGCAAGCCACCATGCTCTCCAACATGATGATAATGGACTGAGCTTCTAAAACTCTAAGTGAACCACCTGAATTAAATGTTTTACTCATAAGAGTTGCCATGGCAATGGTGTCTCTTTGACAGCAACAGAAACCCTAAGACACAGGCACATATGCATTCTACCTCTGAGCTGCACCTCCAGCCAAACTTAATGATCTATTCACTTCAGATATGGACTACTCAGCATTTGGCTGAGTATATGTACCATGGCTAGAGCTAAGTTCAAGAAGAAAAGGAACAGTACCTGGCCAATGGAAGACTCTGGAATAAGGAAACAGACTTAGACCAAACTAATTATACTCAGATAAATATCCAATTATCCAACATCCAACTGTACAGGCCTTTTGCCATGTTGCCTCTATCCCCTCCCCCACTGCCCACCACCCCAGACAAGGTTTATCTGTGTAGCCCTGACTGTGCTGGAACTCACTCTGTAGACCAGCATGACCACAAACTCAGAGATCTACCTGCCTCTGTCTCCTAGGGCTGGGCTTAAAAGGTGTACACCACCACTTGGCCTCTTCCAGGACTTTTTAAAAGTATTTCACAACTTTTAGTGTTTTGTTTCTTTACGTATCTTTAACAACTTTCAACACAGCTATTTGGAAGTCTCTACCCAGGAGTAGATTGATTACAAAAATGGCTGTAGTAATTCTTCTCTCTTACCATGGTTATGGAGGGAAATGCTAATCCTAGCCTTGTGATTTGCTGGATCAATAGGACAATAGTTGTGTGTGGGCTTGTTTCATGTCAACTTTATATAAGCTAGAGAAATATTTGGGAGGAGAGACTCTTGTCTTCATTCATAATTGATGTGGGTAGATCCAGTTCACGGGGCATGGTGTCACCCCTGTGAGGGTGGTCCTGAGCGCTAGAAGAAAGCAGGCTGGCTGGGCAGTGGTGGTGTACACACCTTTAAACCCAGCACTTGGGGAGGCAGAGGCAGGCAAACCTCTGTGAGTTTGAGGCCAGCCTGGTCTACAGAGAAACCCTGTC